CAACACCCATAGAAGCAGCAATCAAGAAATCAAAGGACACATTGCATTGGTCAAATCTGCTGCAAAAGAATTCTTTAAAATGTTAAAATCAAAGATGTCACCTTGAAGACTAAGGTTGGCCTGACCCAAGCCATGGTGTTTTCAGTGGCCTCATATGCATGGGAAAGCTGGACGATGAATAAGGAAGACGGAAGAAGAATTGATGCCTTTGAATTATGGTGTTTCCTAAGAATGTTGAATATACCATGGACTGCCAAAAGAATGAACAAATCTGTCCTTGAAGAAGTACATCCAGAATGCTCCTTAAAAGCAAGAATGGTGAGACTATGTCTTACATACTTTGGACATGTTATCAGGAGGGATCAGTTCCTAGAGAAGGACATCATGCTTGGTAAAGTACAGGGTCAGTGAAAAAGAAGACTTTCTCAACAAGATGGATTGACACAGTGACTGCAACAATGGGCTCAAGCATAACAACGATTGTGAGGATGGCACAGGACTGGGCAGTGTTTCATTCTGTTGTGCATAGGTTGCTATGAGTCGGAATTGACTCAACAGCACCTGACAACAACATTACAGGAGAAGATCACCAGGTCTTTTCTCCCGAGGAGCCGCTGGTTGGTTTGAGCTGCCGACCTTTTGGTTAGCAGCCAAGAACTCAACCATTGCGCCATCAGGTCGACTAGGAAACTAATACACCCTCTTTTCTAATCCCCACTCTCAAATCTGTTTCCCATTTTTCATCTCCATGCTCAGTCATTACTAGTGTGAGCTGATTGTTTATCTCCACTGATCTTCAGCAAAGGCATCAATTAGGGTGTCCCCCCACCCCTGGCCCCACCAAGTCTAGAATGCTTTGATGACCATGGAACATAATGTGTTTTTTTGTTTTGTTTTCTGTATTGGAACCAGGAAATTAGGGAATTCATTTCTTCTGAATTTTCTTAAAACTCCTTTTCAACCTGTTTTCTTCAAGTACAGTCTAAGTGTCTGCAATCCCTCCAACTCTATCAGAGCCAGATCTTTTGCTAGATTCTCAACCCATTTCATTTAAATAAAGTTTCTAGTTCTACATTTAAAAATATGAAAAAATATTGTTAGCTACTAATTTGATAAAAGTCAAAAGAAAGAGATATTTACTGTACTTAAAGTAAAACTGAAAGAAGACTCCTCAGAGCAATAAGAATATACTAGTTAAACAAGTTCTATTCAAATTTGGTGGTAAATGTTGTGACAAAATATTACTTCCACGTTCAAAAAGCTCTAGTTCTAGCTAACTCCTGACCAGAGCTGTGCACACAATGACCTTGCTGGTCCTGTGTAGGTACACAACAGGGTGATGGAATGGACAGAAGAGATGGGAGCTCTAAATCTGAACTTCTGCTCTGCAACCTACCAGTTCGGTGATCTGGAGCAGTTTATTGAAGCCCTTTTACCCTAATCTTCCTTGTCTGTGAGACAGGGACAACAATTCCTACAACGTAAGGTTGCCACGAGGTGTAATGGAATCTCCTTAGTTGGGTGCCCTGTATGGGGACTGGCAATAAGTATGAGATCAATGTATAGTGGTTCGCATCTTCCACCAGATTAATTAAGGATCCTTTTATTTGTTTATCCATTTGTTGAGATTGGTTATCTTTGATCTTATTTCATGATTGGAAACACTGAGTACTAAATGTTTCCATTTCTTCTGCATTACAGAGCAAATCATAATGAAAAGCTAAGTCTCAAACTCATAACCCAGCTTTCCTTGGTTTCTGTCATCATTGTTGTTGGGTAGTTCTGACTCATAACGACCCTATGTACAACAGAACGGAATACTGCACGGTTCTGCGCCATCTTCACAATGGTTGCTATGTATGAGCCCATTGTTTCAGCCACTGTGTCAATCCATCTCATTGAGGGCCTTCCTCTTATTTGCTGACCGTCTACAAAGTATGATGTCCTTCTCCAGGGACTGGAGTCCTTGGTTTCTAACCCAGGCTGTTCAGCCAGCTTGCGGCTGCTCATTGGAGGCTGCAGGTCATTTAAAGATACTTGTAGTTTACACTCATAAAGCCTTTCTGATAAAATTTTTCACTGACATGAACCCTTTCCTCTACCCAAACAACTTCACTCACTATCTCCCACAAGACATTGAATTTTTATTTTCTTCTTGCCTTTGCTCATATACCGTGTTTGTCTAGAATGGCTTACTGCTCTCTCTGCTTAGGTAATCTTATCAAACTACCTTTCCATTTGCAGCTCACATCTTACTTTTCTTTATGAAGTTTTCTCTAATCTGCACCTGGAGTGACCTCAAGTTCCTGTGAGCTCCCGGAATGCTTGTTCTCTTTATTACTCATTTGACGTTTAACATTTGCTGACTTCTGTTTAACTATTGGGTGTGGCAGAACAACCCTGGTCTAGATGTCAGTAGCCCTGAGTGCTGGGCTGACAGCAGGATTATCTCTCACTGTAACCTTGGCTTCCTTGTCTGTAAAACAGAGGTAATAAAACACAAGTGGGTTGCTTTGAGAACCCAAAGAAATGTTAAAACACTGTCAAAACAATAAAATCTTATACAAGGGAGGGTATTATTACTGTTACAAGCACACATGTTTTACTATATTCATCTTTGTTTCATACAAAATACCCAGCACAGTGCCCTGAATAGAATATCAATAAAATGAATGAATGAACCAAGTAGGAATCTGAAGACCTGAGTTCTGGAGACAGTTCTGCCAGCTGCACACTTTGGTCTGGCAACTGAATTCTGTTCACTGTTTTGTAAAATAAGAGGATTAGTCTAGAGTCTAGACCATTGCATGTTAACCCTGGTTGAGTATTAGGAATACCCGGGAGAACTTTTAAAAAATGCATATGCCCCTTCAAATCAATCCAGGCTCTCTGAATTTTGAAACAACTACAACGTACAGAAAAGTTGGAAATAGAGGACGAAAATCTTTTCTTTCCCTGAACCCCTAAATGTTGTCATTTGCCGTTGAGTCAATTCCGACTCCTAGAGACCCTAAACACTGTAGTGCAAATTTCTATAAACGAGTACATTCTCCTACATAACAGCAGCATAATCATCAAAATCTGATGGAGAACATAGATCCATTATATCCATCTAATCCTCAGATACCATCACATTTCACCCATTGCCTCAAAAAATGTCTTTGTAAATGGAACCTGTTCAGAGTCACACGTTATCATGTCTTTTTAGTCTCCTTTAGACTGATGCCTTTCTTCAGTATTTCCTTGACTTTCATGACCTTGACACTTTTAAAGATGACAGCCATTTATTTTATTCTATTAATTAAAAATTTTTTTATTCAGGCCTAAGTCCCATACCATAAATGAACCTTTTTAAAATGTATAGTTCTGTGACATTTAGTACATTCACAATTCACATTGTGCAATCATCTATCTAGTTCCAAAATATTTTCATTGCCCCAAAAGAAAGCTCCATACCATTAAGCAGTCATTCCCTATTCCCCAACACCGCCCCCCCCTCCAATTTTCTGGCAACCACTAATCTGCTTTCTGCCTGTATGTATTTGCCTATTCTAGATATTTCATATAAACAGAATCATACAATATGTGATTTTCTGTGTCTGGCTTCTTTCACTTAATGTATAATGTTTTCAAGGTTCATCCACCATTGTAGCCTGTATAAGTACTTCATTCCTTTTTATGGCTGACTAATAGATTATTGTGCATGCGTGTATTATAATTTGTTTACCCATTCATCTGCGGATAGACCTTTGGGTTGTATCCACCTTTAGTTATTGTAAATAGTGCTGCTAGGAAAGTTCATGAGCAAGTATTTGTCTGAGTACCTGTTTTCAATTCCTTTGGGTATATGCCTAGGAGTAGAATTGCTGGTGGCATAATAATTTTATGTTTAACATTTCGTGGTACCAATAAACCATTTATTTTATAGAATGTCACTCACTTTGGGCTGGCTTGATGCTTCCTCATGTTTAGATTCAGATTATATATGTTTGGCAAGAATATCACAGAAGTAACCCTGGGTTCTTCCTATCGAGGCACATGATTTCAATTTGTCCCATTATTAGTGAGGTTCACTTTGGTCACTGGATTAGAATGATGTCTGCCTGACTTCTTAACTGCAAAGCTAATCTTTTCCTTTTGTAACTGAGAAGTATTTTGTGCAGCGATGCTTTGAAACTCTGTAAATACTTGTACCGCATCGAACTTCCAACGCATTTATTTGTATCTGTATGGATTTATGATTTTCTATTTTATTCAATGAGTTTAAATCTATTACTATAATTATTTATTTAATGCTCAAATTGTCCCAAATTTGGCCTGTGGGAGTCCCATCAAGCTGGCTCATGTGTACTTTTCACATGTCGCCATCATTCTTTGGGCCCTTTCTGCTTTCTACCACAAGATGTTCCAGACTCATCGGGTACTTTCCTTGCCCCAGTCCTGGAATCTGCCATCTCTCCAAGGAGCCCTGGTTTCTTTTAGAGGAGAATGGTATTTGAAGCTGAGCTCAGGGTGTTGGGTGTGCTTATTGCTACTGGGCTATTGCAGCTGCTAGGCCCTCTCAGAAGATAGAGCTAGGGAACATGTGAATGTATAAATATGTGTATACACACACTTCACATCTATATTTATCTTTATCTCTTTCTACCTATTTTGAAAACCATGAGTTCACACTGATAACTACAATCCCAATCCAATATCACTCGTTTATTCTAGTTTTTCTCCTTTCAATATATGTCGTTCCCTTTTCATCTTCAGGACTTGAGGAATTTGAAAATAAATAATACGGAACACCAGTAAAGGTGTTCTTCATTTTCATTGCTCACCACACTAAAAAAAAAAATCACAAAATTATTAAGCAAAATATATCTCTTTTTGGTAGCTCTCTTATATACACTTTCTTACAAAAAACTCATTCACGGATATACATTCACACCTACTCATAAATTTTATGTTAAGAATAAGTACGTTCTAATAGACGTTTTAATATTGCTTTGATGCAGATTTATGAAACTGAGCCGTCCTTTACAGCCATTTAATTGTAATTGAAGTATTGTTTTAAATAGAATAATTTTTTTAACATGGGAGGAAAAATGATCTTTCTACGTTTTAAAACTTGAAGCAGGATACGTAAATGGATTTGTCTCTTGTCAGGAGAGGTGGAGCGGAAGTCCCTCTACAAGATGGGAAAAGTTGTGCATTCAGCAATCCGTGACAAGCACAAGTTGAGCCAGACAACACTGCTGGAACGCTGCTTGCCTGATGGACACCCAGAGATGGGATTATTTGTGTTGGCAAAGCTTGCATCTGTCACAACTGAGAGGAGACAACAATCTCCCATGGATGGAGATAGCCACTTGAGAATGTTCATATCAAGTAAGATGTACTTTGCTTCACATTCACTTTGTTTTCAATATTTCTTCTAGTCAGGTGCCTTCTTTCAGAGACATCACCTGTTTAAGTCACAATATACTCACGAACCTTACAGTTAAAAGGAGGGCCTGGAATTACCTAAATCTGGACATTTTCTGCGGAAGTAAGTACATGATATCTTTGGGGCTTTGAATTGCCAATGAAAAATTTAACTGTGGTTAAAAATAAAAGCAAAATTAAAAATATCTTTCATAGTAAGTAGTTTTTGAGACTGCTGTGGTCACACGTATTTTACTTGATTGCAATTTTGCTGCACTGTTCATTCCCTAAACGCTCTTTATCTTCTAACAATTCTATACCTCTTATCACTATAATTCTAAGAGGCTAGTATGGTTAATTCCCTCCCCATCTACTTCACCTTCTTTTTTTATAGTCAGGAGAAGTCTTTAGGGCGCATGTCAGATGGGTGCATTTATAGTGGAGACCATCTTGTGTAAACAATTATTGCTTTCGCTACCATGTCTTGGTTGGGCATTCAGTCATGCATTAATTACTAACCCAGGTTACCATTCAATCAATCGATCAGAGTATTTTTAACCATTTAGCTTTTCATTAGGCGGCAATCAGTTATCCCTTACAACTTCTTTGACAGCTCTGACCAAAAAGTCCTGTTTAAAGATTGAGGCCAAATAGCATAAATACAATTTTATTTTTACATTTTAAAATAGAGGATTATTGAATGGCAAGGCCCTAAAATAGCATAGTGGTTAAGAGCTCAGCTGTTAACCAAAAGGTTGGCAGTTCAAATCCACCAGCTGCTCCTTGGAAGAACGCCATGGGGCAGTTCTACTCTGTCCTATGGGGTCACTATGAGTCAGAACCTGACTCGATGGCTCCTAACAACAATAACAAATTGTTAATCAGTGGTATTGGCTCAATTACTTAAAATATCTGTGTTTCTATTGGGGAGAGGGGAGGTAGGAATAGATATTGAGAGATGGTAGTAGAAAATACAAGAGTCTCTGGATGACTCAAATGGTGAAGTGCTCAGCTACTAGCTGAAAGGCTGATGGTTGGAAAACACACAGAGGTGCCTCAAAAGACAGGCTAGTGATTTGCCTCTGAAAGGTCACAGCCTTGAAAACCCTATGGACCAGTTCTATTCTGCACATGTGGGGTTGCCATGAGTTGGAATTGACTTGATGGAGCTAACAACAACAGTAGAAAATAAGTCATCAGTAGTAGGAGGATACGTATGCAAGACTTTTTAAGAGATGGAGTGTTTGAAGACCAAATAAATTTTAAAGTCAATAATTGGAAAAAGTGGGTGAGATTAGTTTACAAAATTAAACAATGAGAGCAGAATTTTCTCTAAAGGAAAATTTACATTAAAAGCGAAACTAGTACATTATTCCTTAAGAGTATTTGTATGTAACAAACTATTTCTTGTTCGTATTTAAAATATGTCTAAAGCAGCTTGCCTTTCTATCAAGTCAGTGAAATAATTCAAGTTACATAAAATCATACTCTTTTGATTATCTGAACAGTGATACTACAATGAAGGGAGCTGATCTAAGAACTTTATATATTCTAGAAACTTCTAACTGTGCATTTGAATTAAGCCCATTCTAGCTAAAGTAAGACAATGCTCCATTTGAGACTTTAAAAAAAAAGTAGACATTTTCTACCAAATTTTAAAATATCCTAGGCATTAACCTTTCTCTGGGGGGTGTTTTCTGACCTGTTTAGAAAGGGAATGTGGATAGAGTAGCCCTGTTTATAATAAAACCTCTTTTTTTGTATAAATCCAGTTAAATATAGAACACTGCATCATGCACGAGAGAATCTTCCCCTGGGTTCCTCTATAACCGACTACAGAGTGCCATCCACAGACTCTAACAGATGCCCAACAGAGGAGTTCCAGGCTCCAGCCTCCCTCTAGTCTCTTGTGTTAATGAGGACTCTTGATGCAGTTTAAGGCACACTAGTGAGCAGCTCTAAATCAGAGCTTGTCCTGTGGAAGGAAAGTTTACAATGGGTACCAAGGCCAGTGCGTTAGAATTCCAGATGTGGGGCCTGTACCCTACCTCTGACCAGCATCCATTTCTGCGTACCACAGCTGGTCCATGTAAATGTGCCATATTGCTGCCCATCTGCTCAGAGAGTGCACAGTGGCACATCTCTCTCTGACAGTGGACCGTTTTATTGAATGCTATAAATATTGAAATTCATAGGCATGAAGCAGCAGATTTTTAATGTTACTTAGAGAGACATTTGAACCACAACCTTTGGCAGAAGCATACACTGTTAGTATCTCAGTACACTGTGCACCATTTGGTTCAGACTCATGAACAACTTTTCCAGGGATTTCATGGCTCTCCAATCCCAGGTAAAATGGAGTACAGACCCTGAGGGATGATATTTAGTGTGAATGTCACCCTGCATACAATGTGCATTTGGGATATGGACTTTCCGTCCCTGTGCTGTGGTAAACCATATGTTAATGTTTTTATACTCAGAAAAGATTAGATTGGGGACCAATAAAGTTTCAAAACTACAAATAATAGGCTAACCATTGCGAGACGTGAAGCATTCCTTCAGCTGATTCTTTTCCAAAGTCTCTGCAATTTTCATTTTTGAAATGGCAGGGCTATATTTTGTTCTAGGAAACCAGCTTATTCATATTGTATAAGCTAATATGTGCAAATTTTGTACCAGTGAGTAAACATCCCCATTCATTTGAAATTACTGGTACGTGAGATCTGGGTAAAAAAGAGAAAATTGCTTTGTGGTCTTCTCCCCCTGTCACCCAAAGAATCTCAAGCAAACTTTGAGGTGAAAGGAAGTAAATCAAAGCATGGGATGAAAAGTGGGCTGGTTACCCGTGTGGGTTTTATTTCTGGGGGTCACGTTCTTTGTTTTTAATGAACTGTGAGGCAAGGCAACGCTGTTTAAGACAAAACTGGACACAGTTTTTGTGCAATAGCCCCTTTGCCTTCCCTTCAGTTCTACTACAAAAACGCTCAAAAAACAGAAAATGCCCTTCTAGCAATTGTCAGGGATTTCACAACAGAAGCGAGTCACTCATTTAGAGCAGTGAGTGGTTGGGAGAGAACGTGCTAATGCTCCCACTTTGGCATTTGTGTAGACCAGAGCTGTTAACAAAAGCTAATGTGACAACTATTAAAAAACAAAATACTTTTCCTGCCTAATTGATGTAAAGAATTGAAAACAATCAAAATCCAAACTGAATTTCAATTATGCTTCTGGCACGAACATTTCTCAAGACTGTGATGCTTTTTAACTTTGCTTCATTATCATTTTCCAGTTGCTCTATGGTTTTTGTATTTTTTTTCCTAAATAGAAACTCACATCTTTATTAGTGAAGTTGTAACATTCCAACAATAAGCTGTGTCATTGCTCAAATGTTTTCCTGAGTTCCCAATCCGCAGAGTTATGTAAGGTGGCAGGTTAATAAATGCGACACACTGACATCATTTGTACCAGATTATCTCTCCTTCCAAACTCTGACAGATGCTAAGTCCAGCTGGTAAAAAAAGTTTATAGGCGACTTGGATCTGGGGTCTTCACACACTCCACAATGTTGGCTACCAATGCTTGTTTTAATGAGTCGCGGATTGCCTGTTTATCTTCTGCTCCCTGCTGTTTCTGCATTTTCTCTTCCAGAACAATCCCAGAAACACATGCTGCTACAGACGCTGGAGCAATGTGTGTAGACATTTGAGCCAAATTATTATAAAGAACTCTTTCTTCTCCGATGTTAAAAAAAGGAGTGAGAATTGCACATTGCCCAGCAAATCGTTATCTCAGATGTTCACTGTGACATGCTCAATATGGCCTATCAGAAAAAGTTCGAGACATTTGAAACCTTAACAACTACACAAAATGACACTGTAATTGGCGGGTTTTGTTGTTCATGTTCTGGCTCAGCTAAAACTGCTCTAAACACTTTGTTTAATGATGTTACATTATGACAACACATGGCTTCTATACAGCAAGTCATCATGTTTAACATGCAACTACACAGGAAAAGTAGCAAGTGGCCAGAAACGGGACAGGAGTCACCCTTAGAAGTTTTCCTGTCAAATCAAAAACGATTAAGCGTACAGTCTCCAAATAATTTCATTTCTCACTAAAGGGTCACTTAAGTTCCCAATCCCACTGGTTTAAAATGACTTTACCAGGAAAGCTGTTGGCTTGAGTGTGTGTGTGTCGGAGGAGTGGGAGAGTGTTGCTATCACATTATTTAACACTTAACTAAGACTTGAGAAAAGAGGAAGAAAAGAAATACAGCGAAGGAGGGAAGGAAGGAAGAAAGGAAAGAAGAAAGGAAAGCAAGCCTTGAGCAAATCATTCACTGGAGTACAGATATTTTTCTTTGAGTTTCAAAAAAATTTTTTTAATATAATAAGAAAGCATACACTATCCCTCAAGTAGATTAATTAGTATTGCATTCTTCTGCATTTTAATAAAGTTTTTCGTCACTTTCTGAATGAACAGCTTCCATGATCTTAGAAATATATGATGAAAATTAGACACAGCCTCTATCTCAGATATTTTGAATTATAATGACATGGAGACTTGACAGATAAAAATAAATGTAAGAACAATACATAAAGAAAAAAATACAGACATTGCAAAATAGTTTTGATGAAGAGTTCAGTTAAAGATTATGATGGCAGGTTGGAAAATGTTTGACATCACCTTTGTGGAAGAATTTTGCATTTGGAATAATTAAATCTAGGAAAGGAAGAATTGGACAAAGAAACACAAAACTACATTTGAATGTGTGGGATATCCAGGGAGAAGTCCCATGAGAATAGAGGCTGGGGCTGTGCATGAGGGGGACATCCTGACAAGTTGATCCAAGTCCTCTTGGAAAGGCTTGGAGAGTCATTGCTAAAAATAATTGTTTTGTCCAGAAGACATCAGGAAACTGATTACCATATTTTATGCAAATAACACGCGCCTTTTGTGTTTGT